ACCCTCTATCTAACACCCCCAAAACTATACTTTACCAAACCAAATGTATAATCCCAGACAGAATTCAGTTCTAGCTATATACTCTTTTTTGAATTTAAATCCTCAAAATACCTCTATGTCTATTGGTCCTAATCCTACTTCTAATACTAACATTAATAACAATGTTAATCATAATTTGAATAATATCTCAGAAGTACAATCCCAAGAAGCTTTACAAGCTTTATTAGCTATGGCAGCTAGTTTAAATTCATCTTCAACCCAAAATAGTTCAGATAACCATAATCAAGCTAATAATTAAACTACTTTTCTTAATTTATTTACTGAAGATATACCTTTCTGCACAGTAAAGTCAAACACATCATGGCCTTCAAAACATCTTCAAGAAGAGGTTGGTAACCTAGAGTTAGGTGTAGAAAAATTATTGGAATCATTGTTAGAAAAAGAAAAAGAAAAGAACAAATTAGAAAATGAGAAGAATAAATTAAATAAAGACAAGAATATGGGTAACTCTCTTAAAATTCCTTTGGTTAAGCCTAAATGTGTTCTGGTAATTAGGCAGAAGGTTCTTGAGAACGAAATGCCTCAAATTTCTTCTTTAGTTTCACCATATTCTATCATAACTGATTTGTATGACAAATCTGTAAATATTATAACAGTCAACTTCTCCATGCTATTCCTCCTATGAGAACTGAGTTAATCCAATGTCAATATAAGAAAAAGACTGTTCTAAAAAGAAAAGTCAAAACTAAAATTAGTATAGCTCCTAGTAGTAAGTCTATGGCTTTATATTGCGATACTACTGTTCTTGGTATAGAGGTATCTATAATAGTAGATAGTAGATTCTCCAGTAGTGTTGTTACTTCTCATTTACTACATAACCTTGGTATCAAAGTTGAGAGACCATTTGCTATTAATATAGTAAATGTTTATGAAGAAAGTAAGCATACTCTTGAAGAGATTTCTAACTTCCCCTTTGCTGTTGTCAGTATTGAAATTCCTATTAATGTGGTCGTAACTGATGCTAGTTTCTATCATGCTATTATTGGAAATGATTGACTTTCAAAAGTCCAAGCCAAGATCAATTGGACTACTGCCAAGATAACCTTTACTTGAAATAACTAGGAAGTTATAGTTCCCGTTAAGTTTAAAAAATTATTG